TAAGCATAAGGAAGTTTTTGCAGAAAGCCAACAATGCTCTCTCCACTTTATTCTCCAAGGCCTGCTGCCACAAATGCATACATCGTCACAGACAGCTGTTTCCCATTCGCTGACATTAAAACCCTTGAATTCAATCATTGCACGCATACACGTGCGCACACATGCGCACATACACGCGGCTGCATAAGGGCCACTTGAGCGCTCCCACCTCAACACAGGTAGCACGGACTTCTACAGGCGACACCACCTCGGACAATGCAACACACCAGTTGGAGACCATTTGAACTCACTTCCTAATCATGCGAAAGCAACTACCATCCTAACTTCACACACTCTGACACAACGTACACACAGTCAGGCACTCTCGGGCACGACTGGGTGCAGTCAACTCTAGCTCTGGCTTCGCCAGCGGCCACTGCTGCCTGAGACATCAACGTAGGTTTCAGTGCACAATAAAGCCCTCACTCTGGTTTAACCTGGGATTTAACCATACGATTCTAGTGATCCGAGCACAAACACTGCTTAGACCCTACCAGTTGGTGGTCCCGACATCACAAATGCCTCAGCATAATCCTTAACGACTTCCAACTCGACCGTAATGTATTATTTTCTCTGCGTCACTCCCCGTGTCAGTTGTGAGGGATAAGCGGTTACCGACATCCCGGGTAAAATCTTTGTCTATTTTTAAACAGCCTTAATACTCTGCATTGTACGATGTCCACACAAATGATTCAACATACTCGGAACTCCGAGATTGAGTTTAGGTCGACAGCGCTTGATTAAAAACCGTGTTTTTTTCAACCACGCCACATGCTTTATGAAAAGATGAAAAAGAAACAGCGACAGCCAAAAGTTTGGCAAAAAAAGAAGAAAATACCAGCTTCTGAAACTCAAACCGATTCTGTCAATAGAAAAAGTGCCTTGATTCAGGTACCTGATATATTCAGTGTAATTTTTCTAGCTAAATGAAGAATCTGTTGAAAAATTCTCACAATTCCTGCTCTCTGCTGCAACTCTGAAAGGATTAAAGCAGTACTCCTTCCTAAAACCTACCCTGGTTCAACGTCTTTCCTTAAAACCTGCACTTCTTGGGAAGGATGTTATTGTAGAAGCCAAAACCGGCAGTGGCAAGACCCTGGCTTTCGTCATTCCTGTTTTGGAGTACATATACCATGAAAAAATTACCCAGTTCGATGGTCCAGTGGCGGTCATCCTTACACCGACTAGAGAGTTGGCCCGTCAAATTTATGATGTCTTTCGTCGTGTGGGCAGGTTTCACAATTTTACTATTCTCAACATCATGGGAGGAAAGACACGAGTAAGTTGGTTAGTTGTTTTCAATAATTTCCCACTTTCGGCTGCGGGGCATTATTTTTGATCTCATGCGTGATTTAAATTACAAGCAAAAGTTGTCTATTTTCTACTGAAAATTACTTTCCATGGAAAGAGATTTTTCTGAGTCCCATTTCTGATAACAGGGATAACATAGCATTGAAATTTTTTTCTAAAATCCAGGACGACCCGG